TGTTCACAAAAGAAATGATCATTAGTGGTGGAGGTACCTGAACATGTTCTAGTTATGACTATCTAGGTGGCTTCCTAACATTTACCCCCGGCCCCCAGCAGGGCTTAAAATAGGGGAGGTGCCCTGGACGGGTGGCTCAGTTGGTTGACGTGTCGTCTCATGCACCACAGGGTTTCGGGTTCAATCCCTGGTTGGGGTGGGGAGTAGGGCAGTCAATCTATGTTTCTCTCTCACATCAATGTTCTCTCTCTCTCTCTCCTTCTCTCTTTCTTATCAGTGAACATACCCTTGGGAGAAGATAATAATAATAATAATGAGTGTAAACTGTGCTCTGGGGGCCAAATCAGTTCTGCCTGTTTTTATATGGCCCTAAACTCAGGATGGTTCTTACATTTGAACCCTAATTAAATGAAATGGCATTTCTCCCCAAAAGAATTCCATTTTTATTATAGAAGACCCATATTTTAAAAATTGTCCTCGGTGATTATTAGCATTTTGAATAATGTTAATAAGGTTGCGGAAATGTTTGTTACATAAGTACCCCCTTGGCCTGCAAAACCTAAAGTACTTATTACCTGGCACTTTACAGAAAACATTTGCTAATCCCTGGGGTCAAACACAGGGTGAGCCGGCCTGCTCTCCGCCAAGCGCTGGCCTTGATAAGTCAGGGTGCACAGGGCCCTGTGCCAAGCCTCTCACACTTATTAGCTTGCTCAGTTGTCACAGCCGCCCTGAGCAGTAAATGCCCTGAGCGTCCCCATTTTACAGATGAGGGAACTACCAGCGAGGTTAAGATCTTTCCCTGAAGTCACACAGCTGTTAAATGTCAGCTGGTTCCAAAACTATGCTAGAGCTTCCGCAAAGAGAACTCGAAAATTCTACCCTGTACTCCTCAGGTGGGTGAAGAATGTGGCAGGTGGGATGTACCTTTACGGCTCTAGTAATCCAGTATTTAACAAAGTAAGACATGTGCTCAAACACTTAAAGGAAATACATGGTTATGGTTATGTAAGATGTATGTGGTGAGGCTTCGGTAGTTTAGAGGAATAATAATAATATAAGTAATAATTAAAATAATGATATTAATTGTTTACGACATGTTTACTATGTTCCACGCTCTTCCTGAACCCCTTTCTTGTGATGATTTATTTAATTCTCAGGACAGCCCGGGAAGGTTTGGTAACTGAGATCACGCAGCTCCCATGTAGGAGAGTCGGGATTTGAACCCTCGGACTGAGAATCCGCTCCCTTCTCCAGCCCCTGTAGGGATGGAGTGAAGGGCCAAGGAGGGCAGTGGTGCGATTGCGGTTTTCAGCACTCGGTGGCTTTTCCCGCTCCCAGGCTCAGTGCTCCAGATTCTAAGGGGTTTCCCTGAAGAAAGAATCCCGTCCGAGTGTCTGTATTCTCCCCCAGTTTTTACTTTGGCTCCATTACTTCACCCTGGTCTTCCACTTCCCTAGCAGTAAAATTAAAGAATTAGACCAAAGTGGTGCTTTTCAGTATCCTGGGCTCCCAGCTCAGCTTCCTTCAGCCTGGGTGGCTGCACGTTCAGCCGTCGGAGGTGCCCAGCTCCTGCGTGGATTTTGTTTGGAAAAAGGGCTCCTAAAGCCACTGAACTAGGGACCTTCCGGGTCTCAGAGCTCTGAGATCCGAGTGGTAGACGGTAGTGGAACGAACAGGAACAAAGCCACCTCTCTGTGCCCCTTCGCCAGGTCTGCCCCCTGCCCACCCATCTGATCCACCTTCTAACCCAGTGATTCCCAAAGTGGGAGCTACCGCCCCCTGGTGGGCACTGTAGCGATCCAGGGGGGCGGTGATGGCCACAGGTGCATTTGTTTTAACTTTTTTTGTATTACCTTTCTATTCTGAGTTCAATAAATAGTTTCATAATTTCAAACTTCAATGTTTCTAATTTACACCTTTCTTTGCTATATTTTATGAAAAAGGTAGAAACATTAATACATATATCTTTCTGTTTAATTGCTATTAAAATTTAAAAAAAATTAACTTCCAGGGGGCGCTGAGTAATATTTTTTCTGAAAGGGGGCGGTAGGCCAAATAAGTTTGGGAACCACTGTTCTAACCAGTAAAGCCAGCACCTGCCCTTGTCGGTCAAGGACAGAGAAGCCCTCGCATCCGTAGCAGTGGTCACGGCCGCAGTTTCCATGTGTCCCTGTTGAAGTCACGGGCCCATACGGGGACAGAATTCCCTTTGAAATCTAGCCCCTGAGGCTGGCAGCACAGGCCTTTCTGCGTAGCTTTTATGTTCTTTAAAGCCCGGCCTCTTCCTCCAGTGGGTGCTTCACGGGGCTTTGCCTTGGCGTGGCTTGCCGGGACTTGTGCTCACTCCTCGTCTGCCTGTGGCGTTCTTAACTGCAGCCCTTAGGTAGGGTCAGACCCCTGGGAAAACTAAAGATGTTCTGCTCCTTCCGACCCGAGCCCTTGATCCTGAGGCAGGTGGTGTGCTGTGCTGTGAAGCCAAGTTCACCTTCAACATGAGGGAGAAATGAAGGTGGTGATTTTCTGGCCTCAATGTCAAGCCCTACGCACCCTCCGTTGCTTCCACAGCCCAGAAGTACAAGCAGATGCCAACATATTTCCTGCTCTTAGGCCGACAGTCCCAGCCAAGCGCGCTTGCAGGGATCCCCATCATTAGGCGGCGGGAACCGGGTTTAAATTAAAGCCCAGACTTGCCAGTGGGCACAGGGACAATCCCATTGTGTCCGGCCTTTTGTCGAACAGAAACCGCTTTTGTCGTTTTGATTATGGAGCCCTGTAATTTGAGGACTTTTGCCTTGATGGTTAATATTTAATATTTCCTTCAGAGAAGCGAATTGAAAACCCATGTCAGAACCAAGCCAAGGTTTCTGAGCCTCATGGATAACTGCAGCTCCTCCGCTGTTCCCCGGTGACCTTGGCTGTAGTTATTGAAACTCTCGGTGCCTCATTTCCACGGGTGTGAAATGGTCGTATTAAAAGTATGTATTTTACAGGGTCATGAAGCGAGAGTGCAATGATGGTTAATTAGAATGGAAGCCTGCCCGGTGGTGTGGCTCAGTGGGATGGGCATCATTCTGTGCACCGAAAAGTTGCGGGTTTGATTCCTGGTCAGGGCATGTGCCAGGGCTGCGGGCTTAATCCCCAGTAGGGGGCGTGCAGGAGTTAGCCCATAGATGTTCCCTTCCTCTCTCTCTAAAAATCAATTAAAAATCTTTTTAGAAGAAGAAGAATGGAAGCCTGGATTCTGAACTGCCTGGTTTTGCATTCCAGCTGTGTAAATCGTTAGTAATAAATAATAGGACCCACTTCACAGGGCTGTTTTGAGTATTAGATAAATTAGTCTTTATACTCAGACCTGTGCCTCACACATACAGTAAGTGCTGTTTAAATGTGCTCAACATATAAAAACTCGCATTTTCTGATGGCTCAGTTGATGTTTCTTTCCTTTCAGATTTAACACATTGGGATTAATAATTATTCAAAGCATGTCTATTAGTTTGGGACACCCTGAAAACATAGACAGTGAGATACACATGACATAAATGTTAGAAAAAATCAATAAAATATATTTTTTAAAAATATATTTAAATAAAATAAATAAAATAAAAACTCAGACTAGAGCCTGGCATATAGTAAATGTTGTGTTCGACTAATTTCTACTAAGAGGAAATGCAATTTTAATGATTCTAATGTAGTCTGTTTCTGTTGGGGGTTTTGTATCATTCCCAGTTACCTAGGCCTCTTGAGTTTAGGGATACACATTTGCCCCAAAACCTGCACTATTTGTTCCATAAGAAAGAAGAGGGAGGAGGCATGAGGCTTGGGACGAATGTTCCTGTAGGCACAGGTGTGTCCGTGAAGTAACCTGGGTCCCTGAAGTCCCTCAGGAATGTGCTGGGGTCCAGGGAGGGTGGAGGCCAGTATGGAGTTAAGGCAAGACATTCACAGGTGCAGTAGCCTAAAAGGGATGAGGAAGACGCCCCAGACTTAAACTCAGGTCAGGGCTAGACCTTTGCAGCCCCAGGTGGAGACTAGAACTTTCTCTGGTTTGTGAAAGAAGCTGGATGATCGGGGAGCCTGATTGGGAGAATTACAACACTGAGCCCTCACCTATGTTGCACTGTTCCTTCGTGCCTCAGGACCTTCACACATGCTGTTCCGAGGCCTAAAATGCTCTTCTCCTCTCCCACCCCCACCCTTCAACATGCCCCTAGCTCACTTCAACTCCTTTGGCTGAGTCAGACCGTGCAAGCCCCGGGGTCCCCCTGCCTCTGCTCTGACCCCAGCTTTGCCCCCTAGAAGCTCTGTGACCTTGGGAAGGTACTCACCCCTTCTGTGCCTGTTTCCTCACAGAGTGACTGAGGGATCATTGTTGGGTCCCAGCTGAAATATGTCATTTCTTCTACGTCAGTGAAGACCCTTCCCCTCCACTTTTATACAAGAAAGAAGCCTATTGCCAGGGCCACCACTTCGTAAGTTCAGGGTCGTTCCTAGGTTAGGTTTCACTTCCATCTCCCCAGGCCCTGGGTGAAAGCAAAGTGATGTAACCGACTCTGGAGCTGCACCCTGACTCACAGTTCTTTCTCCCCCCGGTTCTCTCAGGGGTGCCCCGGCGTTTGCCCCCCTGGTTATTCGTCCTAAAGTATTGTATAGAGAAGGGCTCTCTGGTGAGACGAGATTGTGAGGGTTTGGGTTAAACAAAGTCAAGCCCGTTGCTTCTCTCAGGGCTGCTCAGAGACTTCACTGTGCTGGTGTTGTGTCCATTTCCTGGGGAGCATTGCTCATCATGGAACCTGTTTTCATGAGACGCAGTGCAGCCCTGAGGACACGCCCCGGGACCCGCTGCTGTGTGTCCGGGGCTTTCCCACCACCAGTGCTGTGCCTCAGGGAGGTGAGCAGACAAGCTTGTGATGTGGCGCCAGCGTGCAGGGGTGTGCCTGTGGGTCTGCAGTACGCTACGACTTACCGTTGTCTTTTCTTTTGCCTCTTCCCCCAAACAGAGAAGGAGACCTTCCTGGATCCTTTCGTCCTCCGGGACCTCCTGCCTGCATCCCTGGGCAGCTATTACCGGTACACGGGTTCTCTGACCACCCCTCCGTGTAGCGAAATTGTGGAGTGGATAGTCTTCCGGAAGCCCGTCCCCATCTCTTACCACCAGGTAGACATCGGACCCCACGGGGGGGCTTCTGTGTTTGTTTGCTTGTTTTGTGTTGTCTTAACTATCTGACGTTGCTAGATAGGATTTGTTTTTTTAAATTTTTTGGATCTTCTAATCCTCGCTGATTCATTCTTTCCAACAAACATGTTTGTGAAACTAAGAATTGTAAAATATAAAACATGGTTTTTCAGCTGTAAATTAACTAGCTAGAGAGACGTGCAGGCATGAAATCGGAGGGTATTTCGACCTCAAGCAGCTAACAGCTCTCCTCAGTGGTGGTGGGATCTTGTGCCAGGAACTCGTCTACGCCCCTGACATGTGGTAACGCATTTCATCCTCATGAACAACAGTGTCATGGGGTAGCTACTGTTGGTCCCCACTTCACAGAGGAGAGACACAGAAGTTCAGTTACTTGCCCAAGGTCACACACCGATTACCAGGCCATGGTGTCTAATCCCAAAGATCATGCTCAGAACCACTCACCCTACCCAACATTCAGGAAAGGGAGAGATTGGTATACATGAAGAAAGAAAAGGAAAACACCCTTGATGGAGTTCTCTGTGTGCCAAGTACACCACATGTTCCATCTAATTGCAAAACAATGTTGAGGATGGGTTTGACACTAAGATTGGACACATAAGGCCATCGAGGTGTGGAAAGACTGGGTAACATGCCCCGATATTCATAGTTCATGAATGTTGAAGCCAGAAACCAAGCCTGGCTTTGTCTGATTTCACAACCCATGCTGCTAACCTCGACACTGAACTGCTTATCTCTGAGTGTGGCCTGGGCAGTTTCCATTGGAAGCTGAATTTAGGCTGCCGATAACTGTGGGCAGGAATTGCTGAAATGGACATGGGGTTGGGGGCAGTGTCAGAGGAAGAGGAGCCTCCAGGGGAGTGAGGGGTCTTGAAGTCACCTCCTCAGGAATAAGAGATGAATGGAGAGAGCTCTCAGAGGGATTATCTTAGTCACCAAAGAATGCAGCCCACACTGAGGTAGCAGAAGCATCGATTTCTTCTCCATACTTCCAGAAAATAGAGCCAGGAACAATGGGAAGGATGTGTAAGAAAGGCATTTGAGCCATTAACCAGCAATGTCTAAAAACGGGAGGTTCCTATCGGGAGGTTCCTATCTGGCCGTTCCTAGAAACGCCTCCCCAGAGCCTGACAGCCAGGGTAGGGATGTAGCACAGGGAAGTGTGAGGCTTGGGAATGATGTGATAATATCAATAATATAACTGAAGACACCGGCGACAAGGTTATGAACCTAACTGGCCTGGAAAGGAGTCCAAAGATTTTCCAAGAGCAGAGGATGGAATAGGGAGTAAGGGTAGTTGGTGGATGGTGTGCTGGTCAGGTCTCTTTTGGAATAAGAAACAGAAACCCCTTTCAGGGGTAGCTCATGTGGAGGGAGGATTTTCAGGAAACAATGAGGGCCGGGGGGGATCCTGAAGCCATCCTGACCAGGAATATAACTAGCAAGTGAGGTTCATACTTCACTCTCTCAGGGGCCACGCAGGCTCTTACATCTTGGAGTTACTGCTATGGCTTTGTGATTCGGTACTTTTGCAAAATTCTGGTTCCTTCTCTCCCAGGTGTGTTTTTTTTCCTTTCCCAATATGGTTAGTGTAATACCTGTTGACCTTTTAGCTCAAGGGGTAGTTACCAGCTGACAACAGTCTGGATCTTAGTCAGATAGTATGCAGGAAGATAGGTCCAGTAGACATTGGCCAACCAACGAGTTGGCGGGTCTTGGGTCATGTGCCCGATGTGAATAAATCGGCAGTCACTTCCTAGGCCATGAGGGTTGCCCCTGGGGGTAAGAGGAGCAGTTTGTGCAGGAGGGACACCACATCTCACTGGGGAGTTAGGTGCCGTGGGCCCAGGCCAAGCAGATGTATTGGCCTCACTGCTGTTGGCAGACATTTGGCTGTCAGAGTTTTTTCTTTTAATTCTGCTCTTATTTAAAAAAAAAAAAAAAAAAAGGACTAGTGCCCTGGCCATTTGTGGCTCAGTTGGTTGAGCGTCATCCCATGCACCGAAAGGTCGCTGATCCCGATTCCTGGTCAGGGCACATGCCCAGGTTGTGGGTTCCGTCCCAGGTCGGGGTACGTACTGGAGGCAGCCGGTCGATGCTTCTCTCTCTCTATCTAAAATGAATAAAAGCACACTACAGGAAAGAAGGACTAGCAATTTGGTTTCCGAACAGGATCTGCCAGCCTCCAGGAGATAAGGAACTATGAAGTGAATTTCTTTCCTAATGGTGAAGCCAGCATTGTTTTATCAAAATAAAATTTCAGTCCATGTATTTGCATCCTCAGCGTTGGGGGAGGAGCTTTGTGGGTTAAGAGAAATGCTTTGTCTCCAAAGATATAAAGGCTTGGGATAAGGAGGTTACGAAAGCCAAGCCTGGCCCTGTGAGGGGCAGAGGCAGAGAGCAGTGGTTGTCAGGGTGGGGAGCCATAGGACACATGCTGGGTTTTACTGAGGTCTCCAGTTTTAGGCTTGTGTCTTGCCAAGTATGTGTCAATTAGAAGTATTTTGACATTTGGTGACTGGGCCTTCTTCTTTGTTAAGACTGGTTTACCCTCAAACTCCCTGCCACCCACACACTCAAAGAGAAGACATGAGGACAGAATTTTCCTCTCTGACTTTCAACAGATGACTTCTCTGTAGCTATTAATTATTGTTTCAAGAAAATTGTGAAGAAATAAATGAATCATATCGGCTCCCTGTGTCTTTACTATAAACCATCTTCAGATAAGACTTGCCTTGATGAGGCACAGCTTCATAGATCCCTGTCTGTCTCCCAGGGAGGAAACAGCTCGTGTCTATGTGGCCACGCTGGGTCCCTGCCGGCCCGCTGCACGAGGTCACAGCGTGTCCGCCCTGGGAAGGAAGGCATTCGCCGTCCCAGTGGTGGCGCGGCAGACCTCCCGGCCCTGCCAACATTCTTTCTGAAGTTAGCACAACATGTTCATTTCAGAAGGGCAGCTGGCCAACTTGGAGGAGCCAAGCAGACAATTCCATGTCTGCGTCTGTCGGAAAGGGGGCGTCCCCAATCCTTCATCCCTCTCGCTGTCTCCGCTCCTCTCTCACACGCTGCGTGCCTGAAGCAGCCAGAATGAGAGCATGTTCACCATGAAGTATTGTGGTTGGCGCGGACTGTTGGCTGGTAGGATGTGGGTTTCTTTGAAATCTTCCAGAGTAAATAGGAGGACCTACTTATTTTTTTTCTCCTTTGTGATTCTACTCGGACCTTCAAACCGGGCTCGGAGCCAGTGAACCCTGACTCCGCCTCGCGTGACAACCTAGAACTGAACACGGTGTGGCCGATGAAATCACACGCGGGCTTCGGGGGCCAGCACTCAGGGTAGCTTGTGTGACTCCATTAAACATCCACTGTTAATAAGCAGAAACCGTGCCATGGCTTTGTCACCCAGACGCTATGGTGACACTCAGTCCTAGTGTTGGCGGTCAGAGAGCAGGACTGGCGCATTGGGAAGGTGCCAGCTGTGTCCTGACCAGACAGGACGTGGGCGCGGATGTGCTTTATTCTAGGACAGAGGCTCTCAAATGCTGGTGCTTGGGCCTTCGCAGACCATCCCGGCCTTCCCTTTCCAGGACTGGTTGCTTCCTGTGGTTTAAAATATGACAGCGCCTGTCATCTTCCTGAGCGTGCATTTTATCTTAGTGCTCTTGGGGACACTATCAGAAAGCCAGTAAATGTCTAAATATGTCCAGTTTGTTTACTTTTGTTGTTGTTTTTTTCAAATATATTTTTATTAATCTCAGAGAGGAAAGGAGAGGGAGAGAGAGATAGAAACATCAATGATGAGAGAGAATCATTGATCAGCTGCCTCCTGCACACCCCACACCAGGAATTGAGCCCACAACCCAGGCATGTGCCCGGACCGGGAATGGAACCATGACCTCCTGGTTCATAAATTGATGCTCAATCACTGAGCCAAGCCAGTCGGACAAGTTTGTTTACTTTCGGATGCTTGATTTTTTAAAAAACATATTTTATTGATTTTTTACAGAGAGGAAGGGAGAGGGATAGAGAGAGTCAGAAACATCGATGAGAGAGAAACATCAATCAGCTGCCTCCTGCACACTCCCTACTGGGTATGTGCCCGCAACCAAGGTACATGTCCATGACCGGAATTGAACCTGGGACCCTTGAGTCCGCAGGCCAATGCTCTATCCACTGAGCCAAACCAGTTAGGGCTGGATGCTTGCTTCCCCCACCCCCCCACCCCAAGAATAAGTTGGAGTGGATAGGGAAGGTTTATTTGCATGATTTTTTTTGTATCAGTGTTGTCTCTTTCATAAACAATGGAGCAACTCTTTTGAATTAACATCATTTACCATTTGGAGCCAAACTGCGTGAGGTTCCACTCCTGGCGCGAGTCTTCAGACTCTCTGCCTCGGTTTCCACCTGTGAAAGGGGAGTGATACTAATGCCCACGCTGGAGTCATTCCCAAGCTCCCGTGGTGGAATGTGTGTGGAGCGCTGGGCCCAGCCCTGCTCACCAAGGCTCTAGGGCAGCACTGTCAGTATAAATAAGACAAAAACCATGAACATCGCTCAACATTTTCTAGTAACCACCATAAAATGTAAAGAGAAACAGGTGAAATTCATTTTACTGTATTTTATTTAGCCCAGTTTTTCCCATTATTATTGCAACCTGTAGGGCTAGCCCCATTCCTGGGGGGATAGCCACGTGTAGCTACTGGCTGTGAGGCTCTAGTGTTTATCTCAAAGCTATCATCACCAGCAAATCGCTTCCTTCAGAACGTTTCTATTCCAGTACTCGTGATGGGCAGTGTGTGCGCATAAAGGTTCTTTTAAGTAGTGGGTGAAGGTGTCATTATTAATCCACAGCACTAGCTTTCTTTGTTCATTGTGGTTCAATCCTTTCCTGTCTGCAAGGATTTCTATAATCACCTTCATGAAAATCTGTCCGTAGCTATGGGGTCCGGTGGGGGTGGGGG